GCACACGTATTGGATGTACCTATTTATGAACCTGTTTGGTGGTGTGGGGATGATATTAAAATAATAACTATACCGATACATATTGGTATTTGGTACGTGACTTTCAAACTCAAAATTAAATTCAAGGACGATTTATTATAATATATATTCATTAAAATAAGAAGRTAAAACATAGTCATTTTGTCCAACAAGGCAATAACTATTGGTATTTGAGTTCCAATGGTATGGCATATCAAATATAATACCTATAGTTGTAGCCATACAAAAACATGAATTGCGACAAGCCTATTGTTCCAAAAAAACTTCTATGAATGCCATGATAGGTAGTATTGAAATCGATTTTTAATTAAATTAAATAATCGATACAATATACTATATAGCATCAAAGGGCAGGTTCTGTAAAAATTAAAATAGTAGATTTAACTAATTTAAATTTTGTAATCRAGCAGTTGTAAATTTAAAACCCATATTTTGTCTTTGATTGGACACAAATTATAGTAATAGTTTGTRAGTTTTGAATTTAAAAAATAAAATACGCATAAAAATKTATTTGAAAATGGGATTGAAAATATTTATCTAATTTTTCAATAATAATGTTACTTTTACTTACGTAAACTAGGAAGGGCAAATAAATTGGTTGTGAAGTCTTCGGTCCGCATTTCAATGTTGGACTATTACAACAACCTGTATCTTCAGCGCAAACATGGAGCACTGTACACGAAGGTAAATATTTCTTATTCGAGCTGGGGTATATGTCAGTTACCTTGATCACTCGAGATCTTGGTACTTTGCAAGACGCCTCTTTCGAAATTCTCATTTGATGCTTGTAAGCTTCACCTCCTTCGCTATCACCTAAAAATTGTTTTATTYATACATTTAATCTATGGTTAAGTGKRAAGTCTGACAAAATTATAAAAATTTAAAGTAAAATAATTTGATTGATTTCATTTGGTATWGACATATAAATAAATTAAAGATAAATTATCATATCAAAATATTTATTTGAAAATAGTGATTTATAGTTATAGTTGATTAATAATTTATTGTATTTATTGGTATTATCCCTAACACAATTACATAACGCTGATTAGTCTTTTTATTTCAATAATATATTTAAGTTCAGTTTTAACTGTTTTTTTTTTAGCGAAATGTCTTGTAAAAACAAGTTATGGTGACATGGATGTGAGAGTGTGATAGTTAAAATGTAAAAGTTTCCATCCGGTAATGCAAAAATTCTCATAATCTGCCGGCTGTCATTACATTTTTGAAATAAGTGGAAATTCATTTTTGGTTTTCCCTTCTTTATATTTACTCAATTTATCACTTATGGTATAATAATTACATATTTACTGTACATTTTATAGATCTAGCTATAAAGTATTTAGTAGCTAAGTTATTGGTAAAAAAAAATAGTTTTTTGAGTGTGAGCATATATTATATTATAGTACATTCAATGTATTTTAATATATGTGAGTAGGAATGCGAAAGTGTCTGTAAAACTCTGCAGTGACATGGGAACATGATTTACTGTCGAGTATATATATATTGTACATGTACTTTTATACTACGTATACTAATATAGATATATGATCAACAATTATTGACTTTACACTGCACTGAACGAGTATAAGTATATGTGCACACTGGTGATTATCACGTATTCACGTTTTGAGAATAATAATACTAATGTAATGTAAATAAATGCGCGATTTGTGCATGTCGGGTTTTTTGCCGCACGTTCGACTTAACGGGCATGACTCCTATCAGACGAGAATCGTTCATGCAACTGACCATCACGTCATACAGTATAATAATAATGTAATAGCAAAATGTGTAATATATACCTTGCCCTTGCAACAAGCTGATTCTGTGTGAACTACGGAAAGTTTCTTCCACCGTCTTTCTAGAACCAAGAAATTTCCATTTATTTTCTGATATCGGTGACATAGTTCTCGCTGGTTCGTGTTTCTGGATGTCCTGTAAAGTGTTCGGTAATTATATATTTATATGTTAAAATTAGTAGTAAGTATAGGAGTAAATTTATGTAGTATCACCTATGTATAATTCTATTAAGAATTATATTATATAGCTTGGTGTGGCTAGCTGATAGGTGATTATCCGGGATGTTTAGCAATAAAGTATAATTGCCAAACATCCAATACGTGTTACGAACTAACCGTTCCAGCGAATAGATATAGTTGCCGGGATTAGGATCAATAAAAAAAAGTAAAGGTAC